ATTTTGTAAGGCTCTGACTGAAGCGGCACAGCAGCAGATGGAGTTTCCTCTTCACCAGAGGCTGCAAATCTGATTCCCTTCACACTTTTCTCTGTATTCGGAGGGGTCAGCAGCCTGGTTTGGTGGCTGGCCCCCTGTCTGTCTGTAGGCAGTGGGGTAGGGTGTCATCTGGGGAAGGAAGCAGCAGTGCAAAGTAACCTGCCTTCTGCTGTGGTTGTGAAAGCAGCTGAGGTTGTGCTGAGTCTCCGAGCGCACAACTGAAAGAAAAGTGGGCAAGTGCTGCCCATCAGGGAGGGCCGGAGGAGATGGGGACGGATGACGGTTGGACAGGAGGGCTGGCTCCAAGCCGCGAGGATTTTCTCACCTGGAGCAGGTGGACGCTTTACGTCTTACGCTCTGCTTCTCTTCCAGCTGCTCTCTGGCCCTCAGTCTCTGAGGCACTGGTGCTTTGGATGGTTTTACACCTCAAACAGTTGAAGCACTTATTTTTGCCAGGGTTTTTAGCTGTGGACCTTCAAGCGAGCAGTTTCTTCCTCCTTTGCCTCAGTCGGAAGCCGAGGAAGAGCCCGTGTGTGCAGTCTTCCCATTCACAGAGTGCCGAGTCTCCTCCTGAGCTGTCCACGGTGCTAAACAACGCATGCGACTCCTAAAAAGTTTGCCTTTAAGCAACCTGACAGGTTGGGCTGCAATCTAAACCGTCCAGAATAAAGCCTTAAAGCTGAAAATCTGGGGTCATGATCTGGCATTTAATTGTGCTCAGAGGCTCCACCGTAAGTGCTACAACCTGGATTTACAGTCTTACCTCCACGCCTCCCTGCGCTTGTGAGTTCACATGGCTTCCAAAGGCCTGGATGTGCTTAAGTGAGGTTTTGCCATTGACTTCCCATATATAGAGCAAGTTTCTCCCTTGTGTTCTCTTAAGCTCCCAGCTGTGGGACCCGGATAGTCCCAGGGAAGTACACTGGGCTCTTGGAAAATGCTCCTTCTTCAACCCAGTAGAGTATCCCTATCTTCACGTGCCGTTTGGGCCCTGAAATCCTGCACATTGTGAAGCTGTGACAGTCCCAGGAGGTTAAGCTTATTTATGAGAGTGCTTGTTGTACCAAATATGCCTTGGACAGGCAGAGCTGGGATGTGTTAGAACATGGGGGTGCCAGGTGTCCCTCCTGCTCCTGATTGGAGTTGTGGAGGAAACAGATGTTTCAGGTGGCTGGCTGGTCTGAAACACGGTGGGCGAGGGGGAAATCATGTTGGATCATAACATCATAGAAAACTAAGTCTGCAAGGGACAGTAGGGCGTCATCCAGTCCTGCACTCTGCCCAAGGCAGGAACATCACTTTCTAAACCGCCCCAGATTCATGTGCGGCCAGCAAACATTTAAAGCTTCTGAAAAAGAAATGCCAAAATCACTCTGCGCGTGAGCCCGTATGGTTTGCTGTGTCAGAAGCTACAAAACCGTGCCAGTGATAGTCATGTTACTGATCTTGTTAATGGAAGGGGCTCAGATGAGAGGGTGATGGGCCACAATATAAGAACCTGAACAGAGCCATTGCACCGCACTGAGAGCATTACTGTAGTGGTCAGTCATCTTCAAGACCATGTGGTAAGCCTCAGGCTAGGAGACAGCAGCTACTCTGTTTTAAATAAGAATAACTTTGCTAAATTTAGTCTTGAAAAGCAGATTGTGCATTACCAGCAGGCAAGTTGCTTATGACTGCCTTCATCTGAATCAGACCCAGCCAGATTTTTGTTTTTTTCAAACGGGAGAGACAAATGTCTGAATATCTGCATCTCTGCTGGAACCATGACTGGCTCCTTGGCCACGGGAAGACGGGGAGTGCTCCAGAAGACAGCACATGGCTTTGTAGGCTTAGGATATGCATCTAGCTGGGGTCATCTAGACCCAGCACTCTTCCCTGCCTATGCAGGGGGTCGGACTCGATGATCTATTGAGGTCCCTTCTGACCCTAACATCTATGAATCTAGGATGAGCTGGTTAAAAACCCATGTGCCTCTCCACTCCTGAAACGCACGCTGTTGTTTCTGGGGCACGCGGCATCTCCCACTGGATGGCTTTCTAGTCCAGCATTTGAATTAAGGAAACACAGTGGGATGAACTAGATGTCTTTCACCACTCCAACTTTAAGAAAACCATAAAGCCCTGCTTTTCTGGTCTGTCTGGACTGAAAACAAATGAGAGTCTAGCAAGTGATGCAGGCTCTTTAAAAGTGTGTGATCATGATTAATTAACGAAGCCATTCTCCCAGGTTGTTTCATTCAGCTGCTTTCATTGGCAGGGCTGAAGCCCAGATACCTTGAGAGTTACTTCTGTATAACAAACCTTCTGAAGCTCAGTTACCTTGAGAGTTACTTCTGTATAACAAACCTCCTTGGCACGCGGTTCTGTGCGTGAACAAATGGCTCTGCCTGCTTGTTCTTGCTACCCGAGGTCATTACTCAAAGTTACCATCTCCCCTCCTGGGCAGGATGCGATGTGAAGGCTGTGAGAGCCCCCCTCCAGGAAGTGAGACTTGGGGAAGAGCTGCCTCAGGTGGGGTGTTACCAATTCTGCCTTTGCCTTGTGATCCCACAGCCCGTGGATCGCTGCGGTAGAAGAACAAATGCCCGTTCTCTTTCACGAAGGACTTTGTCTCGCTCATTTTGCATCCTAGCTCTTCCGGAACTAGCCTGACCTGGAATCCAAGCTGCTTTGGATGACAAACACCTGACTGCAACCCCTGGGCCTTTCGTGGCAAATTAGAGCTCATTATGACCAGTAGTTAGTTCTGAGTTGCTAAATCTCGTCTGTCCTCCCTCTTTGTTACGAGACCTTCTGTCCGCTCCAGACAGCGTTCTAGAAGATCTGACCGGCGCTGTTGGGTGGTGGTGACGGTGGAGCATCTGTCCCTGATGCTGGAGGAGGATGGCCTGGGAAGTGCATTGGTTTCATGCCACCAAGAGCTCAGTAGGATAGCTCAGATGGCTGCCTTGTTCCCAGGGTACAAAGCAGTGCTTTGCTCAGGAGCCCCACTTGTGCACGGGCAGCCTGTGGACACACCGTGCTGTCATAGCCATCGCTCTCCATGCTCCTTGGAGCCAGCCCGGTGACATTCGAGAGGGTTTGAATTCCCCATTAGGTCATCTAAGGATAGGCGAAATCCGAGGCTGCCTCCAAGGACCCTCTGGTTCCCGCAAAGAGGTGGCGGGAGCAAGGCAGGATGTACTCTCAAGCACGACTGCCTTGATTTTCTGTCTCCAGCAAATAGTGTGTGTAAAGTGCAAAAGCTGATAGTGCTGCTCCCTCCGGACATGCATTCTGCCTTTTCTGCTCGCTAGCTGCGTGGAGCCCAGGAAGCTGTGCACACAGCTCTTCCCCTTCGCCTGCCTTGCATTAGTGCGACTGCCCTGGCCGTACCATGTTGAGCACAGTGTCTCCTGCCCCCCCTTCCCCCACCAGTTCAGAGGTTCCCTTGCCCAAGGATGTCCCCCTTCCTCCCCACTGTGCAATCCCGATTCTCCAGCCACTTCAAGAGGGATCAGTCAGCCTGCCCATGTCATGACTGCTGCCCTCTGTACCAGTCAGTTTTGTTGGCTCGGGGATGCTTCTGTCCCTGAAAAGCTGTTCCAGTGCATGAAAAGAGGGGGGAAGTATGTGTGTAGGGGGGGAAGGGATCTCAGTTTGGGGTCTCCAAGCAAGCAGAAATTTTTGTCTCAGGGCTTGGTTACCCGCCACTGGCAGCATGTTCTGTCTAGGGAAAGGGGGAACGTGAGGCAGCTGTCTTGACTTCTTCACCACCCCTCCTCTGGCTGCTCTTAGGGCTGCATCCAGCCCTTCCCAGCAAAAAAGGGACTTCTCCCTGCCTCCTTCAATCAGAGTCTCCTTTCCAGGCAGTTGTTGAATGCTGGTGAATAGTGACTCATCCTGCACTGGTCCTGACTGCGTTTCCCTAGTACATGAAGTGACTCGTGGCAGGAGTGCTGTGAGGCTTCCTGTTTGTAAAATGCTTGGAGAGGCTGCAGGGGCTCCAGCATTGTTCAGGGGGATAGCAAGAAGTTGGGTATCTTTATGCAATGGCCATACTTACAGTGAAAGCTCTGACTCGAGCATGAAAGCAGGTCTGGAATTTGGGGGTAGGGGAGCGGTGCTGGGCTGGGTAAGATATCCAACCCTTGTTTTCCAAGAGGAGGGAGAAAAGCCTTGCTGTCAGCAAGTCACCCCCAGGCTGGTAGCTTGCCTTTTGGCAGCTTTTTTGCAAGTGCCAGTACAAGACTTCGATTGCAGTTTAATTATGGGAAGGGATTATGCCGTAGCCCAGAGCCTCTCCCTGTAAATAGCAGAAGGATTCCTTCTGGTAAGCACTTTCTAACAAAGTGGCCTAATCACACAGTGATCTGGGGATTGTTCAGGAGGCTTTCGTGTATATTGTTAAAATCCCACTTTGATAGAGAGCTGAACTGCACTTAACCCAAGACACGTGCTTTTATTAGATAGTAAATCACGGGACTCGCCTTTTTCACCCTACCAACCTGTTCCATGCTCTGGTTTCCTCCGTAGGCAACAGTAAATGCCCGCCCCCAGCGCATCCTTGACACCTCCTCGCTCACCCAGTCTGCCCCCGCCAGCCCTACCAACAAGGGCATGCACATCCACCAAGTGGGGTAAGTTGCCTTGTCCGTGTTAATAATGTGCAGGTTACAGGGCGAATGGATTTCTGCACCCACTCCCCACCAGTAGTCCCTCCAGAGGATGGAGCCGGGGGTGGTGAAGCAGATGTGCTGGATTCTCCTTTGCCATTCTTATCTGGGCAAGGGGCAAGCGGAAGAAGCAGGGCACATGCCGACGCTGCTACCCTTGTGTAATGGGTTGATCTGAGGTTGGCGGCATTTACAGTCTTCTTGGATCTGATCCGCCTTCCCTCTCCTTAGAGTTGGGGAGGCCTCAGGGTTACCTGACCAGCACCAGGCTGCCTCCAAATCAGTTAGTGGAAGAGCCATGTGGCCATGGCCAGATTTGGAAAGTCCCAAACCCCGTCCTCCCTCCCCGTGGAAGTAGCAGTTGCAGCTCCCGACTTGACCCCCTTACAAACAAGACAAGCTGGGAGATGCCTGGCTCCAGAATGGTTCTGTAACCGCATGTTGCTCGCTGGCCGTGTCGCAAGGTGAATGTCAGTGTAACAAGGCTGTTTGCCCCTTAAGGGCTTGGGAGAATCAGGAGCAGGCAGCTTTGTTAGGAGCAAGTGAGAGGGACTTGGTGATAGGAGTAAGGCCAGCTCATAGATTTAAGAGAGCATCATTCAGGTCAGAAAGTGATAGCGAGTCTCCTCTCCTGCGCCACTGTCTTGTTCATCCCTGTTTCCTTTCCTGCTGCTTAGAGGGTCCCCTCCCACTGCCAGCACGAGCAGCTCCAGCCTGACGAATGATGTGACCAAGCAGCCGGTCAGCCGGGACATCGCATCTGTGAGATCTGCGAATGTGGGCAACATTGGGGTCCAGTACACACCCCACTCTCACCAGTTCCCCAGGACCAGGAAAATGTTTGACAAAGGACCGGACCAGGTAAGACGGACTCCCTCCTCGCCATCACGCAGGCCTCTTGTTTGCTCTTCGACTCCCCGGAGCCCTTTTGTTTGCTTTTTGCCACTGCTGGTGGCGTCTGTGTAGCTTCTAATCAGTGAAATAAAAATGAATTATTTTCCCGCTCTGCAGTATAAATGTCACTTTGCGGCTCTTGATGTGACATTACTCGGTGCTGCCACCGCCAAGAGGTGTTTAATCGGAATAGGCTGTTTATTCTTCTGTAAACATTCAATCACTTTACATAAGACAGTGCTGCTGCCTCACCTTAATGAACAAAGTTGCGTGGCAGTTCTCAGAGGGCAGGAGTCAATGCCTCCAGCTGCAGGGAACATAGAAACCGTACCATCACGTCAGAGCAGCTGGGCATGGCAGGAGCAGCCCCAATCACACAGCTTTAGGACAGGATGCACTCAGGTCTTCAGCAACAGAACGTGGGTGTGCTTTGCAAGGTGTCCCCATTAGATCCACTGAAGTAGAAAGAATGTCGGTGGGTACCGAGGGGCTGCAGTGGGGAAATAGGCAAGCCAGGCATACCCGGGGCCTGGTGCACTCAGTGCCAAAGGGCTTTAACAATATCTGGCCCTTATCGAGGGCAAGTCGTATCAGTATTGTCACTTGTATGGAAACCAAGGCACAAAAGGGGAGACTTGCTCATGGTTAGTGACAGAGAAGGGAATAGACCCACATCTCCAGACCCTCTCAAAAGCCCAAGCTGTCTGCAGCGGGAGAGAGCGCTGTTTTAGTGTACGAGCTGCAGCCATCTTGCTGGGGCTGCAGAAGAGCCCAGTGGAGAGAGCTGGAGGTCAGTATCTGGGGGGATTCAGAAACTGAGTGCTGACTGACACCAGGCAGGCTGAGGTGGGGCTGGGCAGATTTTCACACGTCATTCAGCCCATCCACCTCACTTTGAACTTGCAGCTTGCTAGCGTGCTCCACTCTAGTAGTGGCTGCCCAGTTGCACCCTCTGCAGGGCTGCTCTTTCTGGGTCTGGGAAGACCAAAGTGGGAGCGATCTCGGCTGCTCAGAGAGAGAACCCCACCGTGTGCAGGAAAGGCTGACTAAAATCCCTGCCTGGTCAGAGCTAGAGACCAAGTTATTCTCTGTATAGATGCAGCCCAGGCAGCAGCTTTGCACGTACCCCTGACCAGGAAGGGAACCTCAAGGGGAAAGAGGGTCTCTTGGCTCACTTGTTCTGCAGCCTTACTGCCAGCTTGAAGGCACCCCCTGAGATGTGGGCACCACCTGTATGTTAGGAACTGAAGTGGGCCCCACCAGTTCATCACCAGAACCACCCTGCAGCATTCAGTGGCGGCTTTGGGTTGTTCTGCCTGGCACAAGGGACTCGACTCAAGTCAATACATAGAGAGGAAACACCATCCGCTGACCCCTCAAGATGAGCTACTTCATGTTAACCGTAGAGTAGTGCCCAGAAGCACATCAGTCTTGCAGCCCAGAGGAGCTGTGTGCTTATGCCCATATAGGTAGACTCCATCCATCTACCAAGAGCTTTTGTAAAGGTTGTTTCTCAAGGCCCGGCCTGCAACATGCCCTACTGTCCAGGCAGCATCTTTTAGCGGAAACCACAAACTTTCACCTTGGTGTTCTCTTCCCTTCTCCCTGGGCAGACCACCGACGACGCCGATGATACCGTGGGACACAAAAACTTCATTTCGGCCACAATGCAGACCGGGTTTTGTGACTGGAGTGCAAAATATTTTGCTCAGCCTGTCATGAAGGTAAGGTTTTCTTCCTCCACGTTTACAGTGTCACACCGCTGAGTCTCTCAGGGAGGTGGGGATCTGACGCCCTTCAGTGCAAGCCCAGCACATTCCCTATTCAGAGCATTCATGGTCCTTTCAGTCACTGCCGCGAGAGTGTTGTCACTACCCCACTGCTCTCCGAGACCACCTAACACCCTGCCTGGAGTATGTGGGAAGAGAAGTGACTGGAGGGGAAGTGGAGCAAAGTTACAATGCTGAATTTGTGTTCCTTTGCCCATAGCGGACAGATGTCAGAAGGAAGAGAATTGGGTTAATTGCATTGTATTTAGCACCTAACTAGCAGGCTTAATCTTCAATGCACTGTACAGATGTTCAGTAATCCTCGTAAGCAAGTGAAGTGGGGTGGGATGACAAAGTAAGACAAAGACAAGATTCATCACGGGGTCCAGCAATGGGTGGGTGGGAGCATATGTTTTAGTGGTGCTGTTCTCCAGGGTCAGCACACAGTGAAGGCAAAGAAATACCATCTCTGCCCGATGCAGCCATCGTTTTAACGCTTTACCTATATGAAGTTGCCTCTGTTAAGCGGCAGTTCTGGTTTGTGTATGCCAAGGAGGATTAACAGATAATCTTGCCTGAAGTGGACAGCACATGGGTGCACCCAGGTTAACTTTCCGGGAAAAATCTGGTGATAAAAACCCTCTCTGCTGCCACCCACAAAGGAACAGGCACAATAAATACTGCTGGGTTGCCCGAGTCAAAGTCAGTGCAGTGAGCCTCCTTTGTTCCAGTGGCAGGGGCAGAGGTGCTGCTTTGTTCCTGCCTGTGCAGTTTGGTTTCTGGTGGTGCTGGGGCTAAACTGAGCAGAGGTAATCGTTGATAATTCTGCCTTAAGTGAAGTCCATTTAATCCTAGTGTCAGCAGAGCGTGTCCTCCACTTGGAGCTAGACGTGACCCTGCAACCTTAGATCTGGGATCTGCTTGCAGGCTTCTTATGAAATGCCCTTTCTCTCAGGAGAGGGGCTGCGATAGCAACTGGAAATCTGAATTAGTGCCTGGGGAAGACTCCCACAACCTTGTTTATTAGGTTAAAAATATTGCACTTGCAGTAAAGCAAGTGGGCAATGGGAGCAGGGATGACAAATCTTCTGTTACAGTGTAACAGCTTATTCTGGTGCTGTTTGATCCCAGTACAGTTATATCTGTCTGTACCCTCTGAGATGCTTTCAAAAGTGGTTCCCCCCAGTTTCCCACTTGTCAGTGCAGTGTGAGACACATGCCAAAGCCTGGCACTAGGATAAATGAAGTTTTTAATTGGGAGGTGAGTGCTGTTTCTCAGTGGCACAAAGGAGAGATTGCCTCCCAGCTCCCCGGATTTCCTGAGAAAAGGTTACTTATGATTTCAGTCCTAGCTATTAAATCAAAACACAGATTGCAAGCAGTAATTCTTACTCCCATACAAAAAAGGGAAACCCAGGGCCTTTGGGAGGACAACTCCCAAGGTCTTGGGATTCAAACAGAACAAAGTATAACTGAATTTCCAGCTTCAGTTTTTTGAAGGCATCGCTGGCCATGTCTACACGAGACGCTTTACTGCGCGTTAAAGCGTCATCGTCTACATGTGCAGGTGCTTACTATGCAGGAAATTAGTCTATTGTGCAGCAAATTTACTGTGAAGTAAAGCCAAATAGCAATAATTGCACGTGTAGTTGCGTCCACTGTTTGACTCAGCAGGTGACACACGTCACACACAGATGAACAAGTCTGTAATACTGTCACTGTCCAAATAACTCGGGTAAGACATAAGGGCAAATCCCAGAATGTCCATGTGACACAACCCAGTGAGACGATGCTACTCGAACCCCAGGGAAATACTGCTGGGTGCCGGTTTTAATAAGCAGCCGCTGATGATTCACATCTTTTAAGCATAAGGAAGAATTGCCCGTTTCGTGCATAATTTCCCCCGTTCTGAGCAATAACAATGAACCGTCCATTATGGATCCTTCATGAAGCACGTCTTGTTGAAGCAGCAAAACATTAGGGTAATGTTGGGAAGTAAGTGGCTGCATGTCTCTATGCATTATGAAACTAGTGAAACTGGAGGCAAGTTTCCAAGTCACTTGATTTTTGTTGTTGTTGTTGTTTTAACTTGAATTGCCAAGAGGCAGCCCTCGGTAGCAAAATGGATGGCCCGGTGCTTCATCATCAGCTATACTACTAATGTAATTAATTTTCCCTTGACACCATTAGCAGCTTAGCCAATACAGTAAAAGCTGCGTTAACCGGCACTTCATTAACCGGCATACTCTATTAACCGGCATGCCAGTTGACGCCAGTTGACACGGCAAAAGGGAAACCGGAAGTGGGACTTCTTGTTTTGTCGAATCCCACAGCCTGGGGGAAAGCAGCCTGCGCGGAGCCCCCCGTCCCTTTCCCCCGGCACACTGACACCAGTGGAGGGGCGGCATGGTTAATCTGAGATGTGGACGCGCCAGACGCGGTGGGAGAGGCGTCTTTGCCCAACCAGACAGACACCTCTCAGATAACCGGCACATTTGGTTATCTGGCAGGGTGCCGGATAATGGAGCTTTTGCTGTAATATATTAGGACTTATTTCTGACCAGCAGGACTCAAATACTAGGTCATACTTCAAGCTTTTGGGCTTTTACACTAAGATTTGCTTTGGTCAAGAGGAATGTCAGAGTCTCGTTTCCAAGACCAAAAGAATAAGTAAGTTTTATAGGGGAAAAAAAGTGAGAAATAGGGATTATGGTGGCTTATCTCTCAATGCTTATTAAAAACATTTGTCTGCTTTCTGAGGATAGTTGTTCACAAGAGTGGTGTCTTTATTAATACAATAAATCACTCTCGACAGCCAATCAGATTTTAGTATTAAGCAGTATTAGTGGGCATGCAGGGAGCAATTATTTTTTTAGGCAGAGGACTTCACGTGCATAAACCAGAGAGAAGCCTTTGTTAGAAAAGGGAGAAGGGGAGAGGTGTGAGTACAGGAGCAGAGGGGCAAGGCGCTCTCACATGAATGCACAGGGCTGGTTGGTTTATACGACGCTTGGCCCCAAATGGTTGAGATGCCTCGCCTAAGAGCCTTGGATGCTCCAAGTGCCGGCACCGAACTGCATCCATAGACGGATGAAGCTGGGGCCACGGTGATCTTGCCTCGCACGTGATGCCAGCCTTTCCGAACGTGGCAGGTGTGCCAGCGTCTCTCATAGCAAAGTGTCTGACTGGTTTCGACTCTAACTGCCTGTTTCTGCTTGTCTCCTTTTTACCAGCTGAGATTTGACAGACCTGGTAAACTGTGATGTTTTTGCTGAAGTTTTTGAGTCAAACAGGTTCTGTGGTTTCCTTAATAAAAGAACACAGACACGGGGGAGAAGGTATAATTCCTGTTACTGCTGGAAAATATGCTTGGGAAGTGCTTGTTTAAGAGCTCAGGGACTGAAACGGCTGGGGATGGGAGCACGTGCTTTAGGCTGTAGGTGGTTGTCTCGGAGGAGAAAGGCTCTGGATTGACACAAGTTCTGAGTCCTTGAGAGTTGCATATGGCGTGGCAAAGGCTCCAGTACAGACCCACAGCTTGTCCTGTCTCCTTTGAGCATTTCATAGATTCATAGGTGATTCATAGATGTTAGGGTCGGAAGGGACCTCAATAGATCATCGAGTCCAACCCCCTGCA